TTCACAACCATAGTTGATCCTGTGATTCCCTGGGGACTGCTGAACCTTGGTGTGCAGACAATAGCTTTGGATATGTTGTCCAGCTCTTCTTGCATTTGGCCCTGGAGATCACAGAGTTTGGAGTTATTGAAGCAATGGCTGTGTAATATTACATAGTTATCTCCCCTTCTTTAAGGTATACCATTATTATAAACAGCGCTGCCTGCAACTCTGTGGTAATCATGTCATGGATATTTGGGTTCCTTTATCAAAGTTGGCCAAAACATGTCATCTTTTAGGTTACTTTCTGCAAATCAAATGTGAGAAAGAATTATTTTTATGATTGTGAGCAATTGCTCAAACTATTCTGAAGTAATATTGGTGTCCTAGAATTTATCCTTTTCTTAATTACTATTAATAATTAAAATTATACAGAAACTAGCCTTTTCTTGAGGCATTTGACATGGCAAAGCACAGTATGTTCTCTAGTAATGTGAGAAGAACTTATCTTTGAGCAGCATCATAAACATTATCTTCATCAGCAATGTGTTCAACAAAAGATTTTTAAGCTGTTATCACATTTAATTGTTTATCACTTGAAATTCACTTTATTATTTTTAAGATACATATATATTATGATACACTTCATAATAGCTTTTCAAACTTAGATTTAAAAATAACATGCAATATTTAGATTTCTGAACAGCAAAGAAAATTTAAAGTATTCTCCGGCTGCAGAGTTGAAAGATCACAGGCTCCTGCATCATCCTGCAAGCTCTCTGCTTTGTGTCTGCGGAGTGTGTAAGGGTCTTAATCTTCCTTTGACTCAAGCATATTCTCTTGATTTCTGCTGGAAAGGCCTGCTGCCTTAGCTTTATCTATGTACTTTCTCTGGAGGAGTTTAGAAAGTGAAATCATCCCACAACTCTTGACTCATTTACACTCTTGGGGCTGGACATTTTTTCACATCAATGCATCTCTAATTTATGAGGTCTCTTAGAGTGTTGGAAGAAGATATAGATGCTACCACCACAGTGGAGGAGGGTGATGCAGCTGTGTTGGGGCCTGGACTAAGAAGGGGGAGCTGGGCTTGCTGTGTCCTAGGCTGAGTGGAGCAGGACAGAGGGCAGAGGGAGAGGCAGCATCGGGCTCCTTGCTGTGTGCTGCTCAGTCTTTGATCCTTTCAGCATGCGTAAAACACTTCCTCATTCCCTTTCTCCTTAATTTCTTCATCCTTTCCTGCCCATGTTCCTTCCTGGTTCTCCTTTGTGCTCTTCTTTCAGTGACCCCAGGTCTGCATTGCGTTCCGAGGTGCCATTCCCAAGTCCTTTGTTTTCCATGCTGCTGTCCAGCTTTCCACACTCTGGCTCTTGTGTCTCATTTCCAGGATCAGCTGACCTCCCCCTTGCTTTACCTTACGTTACTGCTCCTCAGTGTATTATAGCATTACCTTATGACCCAGGAGTTACACCCCTATATATATGTAATATCCAAGAGAAATGAAAATATATACCCCTCAAACTTGAATAAGAATGTTAATAGTACCATTATTCTTAATAGACAAGAGGTGGAAAAACCAACTAAATGCCTATAAGCTGATGAATGAATAAACACACAGCAGAGCTTTCAGTCCACAATCAGTTGGCCTTTACACTTCTGGGCCTGTGGCGAGGCAGCGCGTCATGATGCAAGTGTGTGGTGGAGCAAAACCACTCATTTCATCATCAGGAAGTGAGAGAAAAGAGGGACTCAGGTTCCACAGTCCTCTTCAAGGGCACACCTCCAGTGACTTGAAGATATCCTACTCAGTCCTACATCTTAAAAGTACCATCATCTCTAGATATTACTATTCTAGGGACAGGGCTTTTTAATTTTATTTTTATTTATTTTCCCATAATTTTAGTGAGAAATAGCAAAGAGACAGGGGATTTTTTTAAACACATGGACCTTTTTGGGGTAATTCAAAATCCAAAGTATGACACAGACACATGCTACAACATAGAAACATTGTGCTGAGTGTAAGAAACCAATTTATACAGACCACATAATATATCGTTATATTATGTGGAAGTCTAGAATAAGGAAGTATGTTGATGTAGAGAGTAGACCAGAAGTGGCTGAGGGTTGAGAGGACTGAGGGGATAGTTGTGGGCAGTGGTGAGTACCAGAAACTGTGTATATAGCAAAACCCATTGAATTGTACCTTTTAAGTGGGTGACTTTTGTGGTATTGATTTATATCTCAGAAAAGCTGTTAATACTACAAATAGTATGTTAGATGGTAGAAAAGTATTATATAAAGGAACATGAAATAGTTATGAAGGGGAGAATCTTTTGGGGGAGTTTCGAACTTTAAATAGTCAGGAGAAGCTTGAGATATGCAAAATCTTGAGGCATTCAAGTATGCATTAAGGAGCACAGTGAATACTAGGCACAGTGAATAATAAGTGGAGAGATTCCAGGGAAGGCAGAGACAAAGAGCTGGAATCAAGTGAGCACAGGAGAAAAAAGACCAGAGATTGGAGGGGGTGTCACTTGCTAGGAGATTACATCAGTTACCTTTTACTAGGTAAGAGACAACAACAAAATCTTATTAGTATATAGCAATCAGCTTTTATTTCCATGCATTAGAATTCTAGTAGATCTAGGCTGGCCTCAGCTGGTGGTCCAGCAAATCCCAGGTGGTTTATTAATTAGCCTAAAGATTAGATGGGGCTACCTGACCTAGATTGGGCCCACAATTATAGTCAGAGAAAGTATGGCTTTGATCTCCATGTGACCTGGCCAAAGAATTTCCAAAGTGTCCTGCTCTGACTTAGGTGATTTTTATATCCATATTATAAATGAGTAAACATTTTCTGAAAAGTAAGTGGTTGCTTGCATTCATCTTCTAGCAAATTGAAATGCTATTTATTGAAGATCTCAACTTCAAATCCTCCACAAAATACTTCTTCTGATACTTATAGCCATTGTGATATATGGAAAGGATCTTATTTAATGTATATAAGAATTTTGTGAGAGGGTTATCACTGTCTCATTTTATAGGTAAGAAAACTAAGGCAAAGGGAAGAGTAAAAAACCTATACAGATTCATACAGTGTATTAGAAGCAAAATCTAAATTTCAACCTGGGGCTTTATTAATTTCCATTTTCATTACATCATTACTATCAAATAAAGGCCACTTTTTTTTTTTTTGCATTTTTAAAGTGTAGTGGCTTTCTAATTGGTGAGCAACTTGTTACACCCAGCTGAATTAAATTAGCATGCTGCTGGGTGTGAGAGGCCCACCTGAGGATTGTTGCTCGCAGCATTACCGAACAGGAGAAGCTGCTGGAACACTTTTGGGGATGCTGTTTGGAGAAGCTGTTGGAACTATTGGAAGCTGCTAATTCCATTGGGCTGTTCTGCTGGAGGACCTTGTCATGCTGGCTTTCTGGATGAACTCTGCAGGAGCTGTGATCCTCATCTTGAGCATTGTTTCCTGGCTCTGGAGAGGAAGATGGTATACTGCTCAGCCTCTTGGAGAAGCTTGTCTCATTGGCTTTCTTTTTTTTTATGAGCAGAATATATTTATTGAGGGAGAGAAAGCTCCTGTCTGAGAGAGGGACAGGAGGAGGGCCCGAGTGAGTGGTCCCCCTCATTGGCTTTCCTAATGGGAACTCAGCTTTCCACATCACTGGAACAGTTTGGGTAATCACAGTGGCTGAGGATGGCTATGGTAATTTTCAGGGGAGATCTGCTGCTTACCTTGAGCTTTGCTTCTTGGCTACAGTTCAGATCCCTCAGCCTGCTAGCACAGATCATTCATCCCATTAGCATGGACTTCCTAGCTTCCACCACTAGCCTTTGGGCCTTTCCAGCAGAGATCTGCGAAGTGGGCCTGCATGAGACTTTGTTGTGGGATCTAGGCCTCCACTTGGACTTGTGGGAGGCATTGTTACAAGCTCTAGGTTTTCATCTGGATTCACGTACAATATTAGTATCCAGGCCCTCAGTTGAAGTCTTTAGTGTTTATGTGTGTAGACAGATTTCCTGCACTTCTTGCATGTGATTCTTAGGTGATCCATTATAACATACTGTTACAAAATATGTCCTGTATATATTGTTCCCCTTGCAAGAACCCCAAACCATGACATAAAGATTCTGAGTCCCCTTTCTAATAAGGAAATTAAGACAAAATTCACATATTTCTTGAATCTCTTCACCTCTACCTTATCCTATTGGGCTTCTTTGAAAACTGGGCTACCTTCTCATCTTCGGAGAATTTTGGGCTTCAATTATGTAAATTGCTAGATGTCTGTTTTCTGAACTTGAAAGTCTGCAGTTACTCTGTTATAAAATAGAAAATGTAAGCCAGATGTGGTAGCATATGCCTGTAGTCCCAGCACTCAGGAGGCTGAGGCAGGAAGATTGTTGCAAGTTCGAGACCAGTTTGGTCTACAAGGTGAGCTCAAGGCCAGGCTGAACTGCATAGTGAGACTTTGCCTTAAAAAAAAAAAGTAGCAGTTAATAGTTTTCTTTTAGGAAAACAGAAGGATTATGATTTCCTTTATGCTGTCTGAGTTCTGAGGCCTTTCTCTAGCTAGAATTTGTTTGGCTCTTTTCTCCAGCAGAGCCTCAGTCTCTCTCTGCTCCTCAGCTGTGGTGCACACTTGTTAACACAGCAGAGGATGAGTATTTCCCAGCATATTCACACAGTTCTAATGTCTACCCCACCCCAAACACAGGTTATTTCTGGTAACCCCCTTCAGATAAGTACTAATACCTGGTGAATTATCGCATTTTTTAAAAAAAATTGTAAATAGCTGTGATGGTGAACCCCAAATTATGAAACCTGGCAGTACAGAAAGAGAGCTTAAACTTGTAATAAAAGATGAATTTTACCACAATTTATTTTGACTAATGTTCTACATAATCTTTTATTTTTTTTTTCCCGGAACCGGGGATTGAACTCAGGCCCTTGCGCTTGCCAGGGAAGCGCTTATTCCACTGAGCCATCTCCCTGGCCCCTACATAATCATTATTGAAGCACATTGTTAATGATGGAAATGGTAAAGTGATCACTCAGGTGACTGATTTCCAGTAGATTTTGTAGCCATTCCTATGGTTTAACTCTTGCTACTCAGGACATACAAGGAACATCTTTTTCTATTTTGTGTATTCTAAGGTGTATGTGTAGCTACTATCTTCTTTTCCATGGAGAAAATGACCAAAGTATTCCACCTATTTCACTACTTTATTTTTTCTTCCGCTATGGAAAAATGAACTCCCATTTCTTATATTATTTTCCTTTGTCCCTGGTAATTTCTTTCTTTCCATGCTTATTTCTTGCCTCTACCTACTATTCTTATTCTTTGGCTAGCAGGACCAGTATAATGCCAACTAATGGCAAGGCTTCTTTGGGTCAGAACCTGTTGTTAGGGTCTCTCTAGTACTGAAAGAATGTTTTGTGGCCATCGAAGTCTAAAAGATCCTCAAGCCTTAAAATTTTTAAGTACTGCTAGGGCATCAGAGCCTGCACATCGAAAGGAATCTGCCTGCCCAAATTTTTATTACACATGAGTTATATATGCTATCATTGAGTTTCATACCAGAACAAGAAAATTTTTAGCTTGAGTGTCTCCTCAGGGCTATGTTAAGCAGAGATCTGGTTTGCTTAGCCATGGTGACATCTAATTCTCTTCAGAGGGAACTCTTGAACAGATTCCTGTCCTGTCTGGATCCTTCCCCAGTCCTATCAGCAATGTTCTTTCTGTTCCAAGCTCAGTTCTATGAGCTATAAATGCCCTCAAGTCTTGGCCCCAATGTAGACAAAGAGCATCTACTTTTTTTGGTTTTGGTAGAGGCATGTGAATAAGGGTCTCTTGGCAATAGAGATAAGGGTACAGAGCCTGAGTTCATCCCTTTCCTAGTGATTGATTCTACCATTTAAATAATGCTCATGACTGCCCAGTCTGCAGTTTCTCTCTGGTAGCATGGTCATGTGCTCTGTGCATGAAACAAACTTTAACAGGACAGACCCTGTGGATCAGTCAGGAATGCTCAGTTCTATAGAAACAGATGTCATTTCCCTGTCACCAGTGTTGTTTCCATAAAACTGGCTCTGTCTCCTGGAGGTGATTAGCATCCAGTCCCTCAAAGCAGAGTACAGAAGCTCATTTTCCTAAACAGGTAAGGACCTCTACTGGTGGACAGATACATAAACAAATCACAGAATAGATGAACTGTGAGGTTCCACAGAGTCAATTTCAGCTCTTGCAGGAAATGCAGTTTAGGCTGCGGTCATGGGTGGCTCAGGACTGAGAAGTTTTCATGGCGTGAAGGGGAAGTGCATTAGCCCTGTGGATTCATTAGGCACTCTGCCAGTAACCTGTGGCAGGCTGACACCCTGACTTGATGTTCTGTGTTTCCTGTACCAGTCCCAATTGTAGCCATTCTCTTTTGCTGTGTCTGTAAGTATATTGGTTCTTGTCAAAGAAGACTGTCATCATTTAGGAATAATCTCACAGATCCAGCGGTAGGGGACATCACAGGATGCAGCGTCCATTGTTGTTGACAGGCCTATGGTGACACAGTTGAAGTTCTGATTCTTGTTGGTAACACTAAATGAGAATAGAAAATGTCGTTGTGACTCATTGCTTCTGCTCTGCCTCTTACTGATCTCAGCGAGAGCCTCCTGCAACTGGAGTGTGGACTCTGTGGGCACACAGCTCCTCTGCACAACCTATTCTAACTTGCTCCCCCTCTTCTAAGCTAACCTTCCCTAAATTCAGCAGTACATTTACCTTTCCTGTCAGCTCTCCAGAGAGCATTCAGAGATTCCTAGAATCTTGACTTACACATTCCTATCTTTGGTGAGAAACATCTCATGATGTCCCTTGTCCCCCAAGAAATAATGTTTTAGTATTGTGTGTAAATCTGTAACAGAATGGAAAGGGGGACAGAAGTTTCTTATTCTTTCCTTTACCCCAGCAAGCTGTAGGAAAATCTTGGTGGATGTGTCTGTTGGCCTATCTCTTTTTCTGTCACTTGGTCCTTTTTAATCTGCATGCAAAGAATTCTGATTTAATGGAGAAGTCATTAGTTTTGGGCTAAGGTGAATTTAGGATCATATTGTGGGTTTACCGTTTCAAGTTATAAGAATTTCAACCCATTTCTAAACCTCTCTTGTCCTAAATTCAATTGTTCAGTAGAGAGTGATAAAAGTTTTTTCTGTATCATTGCTTGAAGACTACAGGAAGTAATTTATGTAAAGTAATCAGCATAGAGTCTGACATCTAGCAGAAACTGAATGAATGTGAACGCTATGAATATTATGGCTTCCACCAAAGTTTATCTTCATGGAATGAGCCATTGGAGAGAGATATGGAGAGTTAGAAGTTCACAGATTTAAGATAGACAATTATTTTAAAATTAATAACCTTTCTTTAGATAAAAGAGCTATATGTGGGGAAATTTGTAAGCACTTAGCAAAAAAGTAGGATCAGTAGTTTAAAAGAATCCTATGACTTATAGGCCCCTACCCCCTCCCAGCTATGTATGTGGATTTTTTTTGGATATTTGCATAAAATAATGTATTCTATGAATATTTTTTCTCTCATTTTCAAGTGGAAAGTGTTTGGTGTTTTCCATAATAAAATGTTTATAAGAAATATTTCTCTGAGAATAGATAGGATAGAAGAAAGGAGAAGATTAGAACAAGGTCCAGTCTCAGCTTCTGTACAATTCCAACATGAGTCTCAGGTTTGATTTTTTTTATGGGAAAGAGGTAAAACAAATAACAAATTAGTAGGAGAATATTAATAGTTAATACATTGCATGCTATTATTTTTAAAGTAGTTGCTTAGGCTACAAAGGATATGGGGTTAAAAATTTCTTCAATCAATATTAGCACAAACCTTCCTTTTTTTCTAATTTAATTTAATTTTATTTTAAAGAGTAAAAATAGAAATATTCAATTATTATGTCCAATCTTGCATAATTATGCCTGTTAATCTGAGCAACAGATTTGACGATAAAAAACCTTCCTTTTTAATGAACCAAGAGGCACTAACAGTATAAGTTACTTGCACTTTTCCCCCTTTTTCCTACTGTCCTTTCCCCTGTCATCCACCCTAGTTCCTTTTCAACAATTTCTTCCCATTATACCACATGTATCTATTGTACATTTTAGACTTTATTTACTCTTTCAGTTTCTCATACCAGGGAGACCATATGATGTTTACACACGTGAGTCTGATATATTTAATTATGAGTATGGTCTCAAATTGCATCAATTTACCTATAAAAGTCTCAAGTTTATCCTTTTTTATGACTGAGTAATATCCTATTGTATAAAAATACCACATCTTCAGCTGGAGAGATAGCTTGGTGGAATAAGTGCTTGCCTGGCAAGTGCAAGGTCCTGAGTTTGATCCCTAGTACCACCAAAAAAACACAACCAACCAACAAACAACAACAACAACAACAACAACAAACCCACATCGTTTTTATCTTTCACTTGGTTGATGGAAGTTTGGGTTGTTTCCAAGATTTAACTATTACTAACTGTACTTCTATTTAGAACATACAAAGAATTGAAAAAAAATGAGACCCCCCCAAATTCAAAGATCCAATGAGCATCTGTGATGAATATACACTTCTCAGGTGAAGAGATAGAAATGGAATATATATATATATATATATATATATATATATATTTCATGTCATTGGTCATCTGAGAGATGCAAATTAAAACAATACTGAGTTTGCATCTCACCTTAGAAAGAATGACTGTGAACAAGAAATCAACCAGTAACAAATGCTGGTGGGTCTGTGTGGAAAAAGAACCCTTCTCCATTGTTGGTGGGAGTCAGACCAGTATAACCACTGTGGAAATCAATGCAAATATTCCTCAAAATACTAATATTAGAGGTCCTATTTGACCCACTTATTCCTCTTCTGGTTATCTTCCCAGAAGAATTAAAAACATCAAACCACAGTGATATAGGTTGGATCTTTTGAGGCCAACCAAGATCTCCAGAAAAGTGCGGGATGCTCACGTACTTGCCATTGAACACAGATTTGTTGATCCAGCGCCACATTTTCTCTGCAGGCTTATACATTAAGCCAATAAAGTACTTCTCAGGACCAGCTTCATCTTGGAGATATTTCTAGAAATTAAAACAATAGACGTACAACTCAACAATGAGTTCTTTATTGCTGACCTTCTGGAGCCAATAAGCCCGTGATTATATTTGATTGTGAGAACAAGGAAAACAGTGAGAGGGAGGAGCCTGCCTGGCACTGGCACTTGCCATTACTGTGAGAGGAGAATTTCATAAACTTTGCAGGGATCAAGATCGTCTGGGTGTCTTGCTAAAACACAGATTTCTAGGCTTCTGGCCCAAGAGGTTTGATGTAGGGAGCGAATCATTTACTTTCCCAGCAGGTCCTGGGGGGTGGGGAGGGAAGCATTTACTTTCCCATCACATTGGGTGGTGCTGATGTGGCTCCTTCAAGCTACACAGAAAGTGAAGAAGGATGACTGTTCTGTCAAGACCAGCTAGTTTGAGATACAATTGAAAACTTGTCTTACCTTTCTGTATAGAATTGCTTTCATTTCCACAAATTTTATTTTCCAAATGAGATTGATTAAAATAACAAAATATATTGACTTGAGTTCATCAGTAAACTACTGTGATGAACTCCTGAGGTTAGCATGGGGTGTGAATGGTGGGGAATGCCCACAGTGGGAGTTGGGATGCACTGAAACTGAAGGGATGAGTGGAGGGAAAGATGCCACAACTTCTCTTCTGGGTCTATTCTTTCCTTCTCTTTTTGTTTCCTCTTACTCCAGTAAAATCCTCTTACCCCTGGTTTTCTGCCTGAATACATATTTCCATCCCACTTGGTACTTAGACCTAAAGAATCCATAGCACCTTGATCACTGTCCTTTGTTAGTTATCTAGTGGCACACTTCAGAGAAGAAGGTGCTCATAAGTTTTTCTCAATCACAGGAGTACTTTTTTTTTTTTAATGAAGAAGTGTGGATATACAATGGTGAGAAACCAGAGGAGTGTATGTAGCACTCTTGCTCTACTTAAGTTTTGGTATCTAACAGGCTCCACCCTTTATGTTGTCCTCTGCCTAAACTATGCTCAGTGCTGGGTACTCAGCAAATGCTTAGGTTGGAAGGAGAGGTAACTGTAAGCTAGAATGAAGTATGGCCTACAGTATACTAAAACATAGGTTTTAGAGTCAGAGTGATCTGAATTCAGTTCTTTGTTCTGTGACATGTGCATAACCTCTGTTAAATTATTTTTGTGCTCTAATTCCTCATTTATAAATATAGATAATAATACACCCTCAGTATTGTTATGAGGTAAAAGGAAATAAAACTTTTTCTATAGTATTATTTTATTATGATGAATATAAACTGAAAACAATATGACCTGCTTCTTTGCTTTTCATATTATTCATTGTGCTAATACACATCTTCCTTTTTTTACTAGGTATTGGGCTGCTAGATTGATACCTACGATGTGTGCTGTAGGTTTTAAACAACTTTTATACACATCAGCTCTTTGATAACTTCCTGCACTTTAATGGTCTTAGCTCAACCCTAGGGGATTAGCCCACTGCTGTGCCTTATGGGGAAGACTGAAGAGTCTAGGTGTCCACCTCAGAGAAGCCAAAGATCATACCCATGAGTTAGTAAGAAGTCTCTTAAATCCAGGCTCAGAACAATGAGACAGAATTCAGCCAGCCACCTCTCCAAGCCTTACCACCCAAACCCTGCTCCTCCATGTTGCCCCACATCTCCATCCATTGAGGCTGGTGTAGGGTGGGCTGCTTTACTGTACCATTGCTGATGCTCTCACCTGTTTATCTGGCGTGTCAACAATTGCCAAAGTGGATCCTCTTTTTGCACAATCATCCCTACTGTTGTTCCAAGTTAATTCAGAGGTAGATAAGAAGAAACATCTTTGATGGAATTTCTTCCAATATGGGGGGCAGACTGGAGGGGAGAGAGAGAGAGAGAGAGAGAGAGAGAGAGAGAGAGGGAGAGAGAGAGAGAGAGAGAAATGAATATGGGATTAGTTGTTTGGAATGTGAACCTTGAACTGAGTTATAAAATAATGAGATATGGGTTTCTTTATAATAATTATATCTATACAAATATTTCTTGAGTCAAGAAGAAATATCAACCATTCTAGACTGTGTTTCTATTGTTTCCAATAGTCTTTATGGACTCTTTCAGCAAAAACAAAGTTCCACAGGGAAGGAAGTGATGAGAAAAGTCTTTTAGAATTCAGCTAATAACTTACACATGGGGTGGAAGGGCGTTTCAAGTCATGTACTTTACCTGTTCCATAGCTCCTCGTGGGAATGATGTTGTTAGTGCTGCTCCCAAAAATCTCTGAGACTGAAATGAAGACATAAAGATTATTGTACAGGGAGCATAACACACAATCATCATAGTTTTGGCTATTGAACTTCTGCAGCTATTTGACTTCTAAGTCAGGAGGACGAAAGGCTCTTGGCCAGCACTGAGCTAGATTTTTTTTCAGATATTTTTTATCTTTGAACTTTTATTATGTTATTGCTGTTATTTGTCTTCTTTCATGCTTCCCTCCCCACTTCTGGTGTGGCAGTAGATGTAAATGCTGGGAGGGGGTGTGCAGAAAAAAATGAGAGACTTGAGTAGAGTAATGGAAAAATTTGGTATACCTGGGAGACTCCTTTCTAATGCCTTCCTCTGACAGTGCTATCCCTCAAAAACTGGAGCACTTCCACTCCAGGCTCCACAGAGCATCTTTGCTATTCTTGCATTTTTGGTGTCTCAAACCTTCTAGTGAAACTCATAATCTGAGGCAGCTACTGGATGCCTCTCTTACCAATTCCTTCTCAGCTCTAAGAATTGTGACTAATTGGAACAAATTTCATGGTATTATCAGACAAAGAATCAGGTGAACATTCCAGAGATCTCCCATAAATGTAGAGAAATCCATTCGTTCCTTTCAAAATAAATAGGGGAATTGATTGGTCCCCACAAAACCTCGTTACTTTTCCAGGAATACTGGTCATCTGAGTAGGAAGCTATAGTAAATTTCAGAGGCTGGTCTGACCTCCCCTAGTGATCTCAGGTATCTGTCTATTACAGCTGAAAACACTTAGCTTACTCAGATACTAAACTGGTTGCTTAAAATGATGTTAATGCAGTAGATGTCAGCTTTGACTTTTGTCCGGCTCACAGACCCATACACAGTCTTGGCATACACAGTAGCCTGGTTTCCATTGGAAAGTACTTTGAGAGTATAATGGAAGGGACTCAGTATGTATTTCTTGAGTATTTTGTGTATGTGGTTCATTATATTAGTTGTCCCAGTTGAATCAAAGAAGAATGTCCTTTCTCTTAAAGTTGCCTGTAGTAACAAGTATCTCAAGAGGAAGCAAGAGAGAGGTGTGGGAAAAGGCCTGCAGAGCAGGTGGGTTTAACCAGAAGAGCCACATCTCACTCATCTCTTTATCCTGTGAAATTTCTGATCTTGTGCTCTGTGCTTTATAGATGATGGTTGATTAACATCCCTGTGTTCATCCTTCTCCTATGGCTGACCTGGCATTTTATTAGGCACACAGGCATGATCCACTCTTTGTGGCACCTGGTCTCCTAATAACCACTCTTTGTATGTGTCCATCACTTCAGATTCTCTGAAGTACATTCACATTATACCACAACAGCTACACACAAATTGTCTACAGCCCCAGGAGGAAAACTGAGGGTCAGCAATTTCACTCAGGATCTGGGGGTGCAGCTTAGATGTATACTTTGTATGCAAGCCATCCCGAGTTTGGGTTCTATCCTTAACACAGTAAAAGAGAAATTTTCAGAGTCTGGTATTGGTTATGCCTGGAAGATAATTCACTAGAAGACCTTTGTGATATCTTTATACAAATGTTCCTTGGGAAAGGAGGACTTGAGGAAGTTCAATAAGAATCTAGGGCCCTACAAGCTGGATGGTAGAGAGGAGATTACCATTATGCACATTATCTGCTCCGTAGCTCCCAGTAGGAATGATGCCATCATTACTTTTCCAAAAAGTCTGTGGGACTGGAAAGAAAATCAACTATAGGCTCAGTTCCCAAAACCACTGAGTGATGAATATAAGCAAACCCACAGGCGTTGATGGGGACCTGTGACTCATAACCAGGAAGCACTGATCTCTGATGAAGGTCAGCAGGGCCGGGATGCGTGCATATTTTTGGAATGCATAATTTCTTCACTTATTGAAACTCATATTTCCTCTTAGCCAACTGCTCCAGCCTACTCACATTTCCTTCTTCATTTAAGCTACTTACTGGCAACAGGGGCTGTAAACCATTCTACTTGTTGAATTGCAGCAAGATCCTTGGATATAAGTCTTCTTTTTCTAAGTAATTCATTTGGATGAATAAACATATGAATATGTAGTAAAATTTCTCTTTTGGGTCTAGCCTATTCCCTTACAGTTTAGCCCTTAACACAGATTTATAACTGGACTGAAATGGAGCTGTATTTTTAAATTTCAGCAATAATAACATACCCTGTTAGCTACGTTAGTTCAGATTACCCAAAAAAAAAATACTTTAGTAACAAAAGTTGGGTGTGGGATTTGGGTTGTCATACTCTGGACATTTATGTATCTCCAAGGCAGAATAAAAAACCTGGCCTACTGTGCCTGCTGGAGAGGGAAAACGACACAGGGCAGTTGCTCTTCAGCTGTATCAGTTGCCCTGAGGTGGAAAATTTGAGAATTTAATCTTACACATAATTTTGTTTTCAGAAGAGTCAAGGAACATGATAGCAGGTGTCAATCACTCAAATACTCACAATGCAGCAGAAATAAGGTCACTCCAACAGCTTTAAGCACCACTATAATAAGCACAGAGATTATCAGGTGCCAGTTCATTATGAAGGGAATTTGGGAGCCTGTGGGAATCAAAGCAAAATTATTAGAATCTGTGAAGAAACTTGCCCCCAACCCTGACCTACCCCAACCTCTTGCTCAGAGATCCAAAGGGAGGTTTAAAAGGCCTATGGTTGGGATCTTGTGATGTTTGGGAGATTTGAACTTGCGGTTCATCCTCTAATTGTAGACTTAGCCTTGTTTCTGTTTGTATCCTTTAAAATCCTGTCAAATTAGTAAATCCTGTCCTGTATTTAAATAACTCACAGTCTTGAAATTACCCTTGCTTCTAAGAACATTAGTTTGTTGTCTTGGCCCTCTTGACTTCAGTTATGGAAGACTTAGTCTTCATTATATCTGTAGTAGGGCCCAGGCTTCCCTTAAGGTCTTGTCTTTGTCTTATATTTCGGGGAAGGGCAAACAGTTTGTGCAGATAAGACAGACAGACAGATGGACAGATGGACACATGGACAGACGGGTGGGCAGGTGGGCAGGTGGGCAGGCAGGCAGGCAAGCAGGCAAACAGAGTGACTCACCTCTTTTACCGGAAGGCTGGAATGTCCTACAGATGGGGGGTTAAGGGTTGGTACAGTGGATTTGGGCCTGTCTCTTGATAGTATGCTTCTGCTCAGGAAGTGCCCTTCTTTCTCCACAATCTGTCTGTCCTGGCAGCATCTGTGAGCAAATACTTCCTCCTGTTCAGTGTTTTTGGCAAAGGAAGCAGGCGGGGCAAAGAGAGGAAGAGAGAGCCTCTAGCTCATCAGGAGGAAGGCTCCTTTCAGGAGAGATATAATACTGGGGGGCATTTCTACAAGAATTTGGAGAAACAAATATCTCAGCATTGACTCTTCCTGTCTATTTTCCATTGCTTCTGGGACATGGTTTGTACTCTTTAATGTTCTCTATAAGTTTTTGCATATACATTATTGTAGCAAATGTGATGTGCTTACCCTGCACCACTTTTAGGCACCTATGATATATGTTCTGCCTGTGGGCTTCTCACAAAACCATGTCTATCCTAGCATCATCTGCCAGTAACACTGAACTTACTCTCTGATCTGACTTTTCCCATACCCACCCTACATACCTTTATTAGTGTACAAAGCACTAAGAGCACCACCTGCACAGACATAGTTTCCTACGTGCTCTCTTAAAGTTGTCTTGACTCATCCTTAGGGTCTCAGCTTAAATGCTACTTTTGTTTCAGAACTTTCCTTGCCAATTCTCCTTCCTTGCCCCATTGGGGTTTAGGCATTGCTTATCTAGTCTCATGATACCATGCACTTGTTCCTTGGAGTGACCATTGTGTGATAATGTGCTTGTTGCCTTGCCCTACAGACTCTTTGAAGCAATAAAAGCAAGGGCTGCTTATCTTTTTACTGCTGTAGCCCCAGCACATCCACAGAGTATAGAACACTGCACCACGACACCTTGCTTTCAGGCTTGTAATTAACGTCCCTGTTGTGAAAGTATGACAGACCCTACAAAATAGGTGTGGAGTACAGTTTACAATTTTATCTTAAATAACTGCTATTAAATGTGCATTATTGTTGTAGTACTCCAAGCGATGTCTAACTACCCTCTTAGTTTGTAAATAACGTATGTGGAAAATACTGTGTTCTTTTAAAGTAAATTGATGCTTTCATGATACAACAATAAGAATTCATAGAACACATAGAAAAATCCAGCTTCAAAGTAATTGAAGGCTGCTCTAGTAGACTGTAGAATATGTGCTCTAAATGATATATCAGGGCTTGGAGGTGAGCCGAATCTGTGGGGCGTAGGGGTGGGACAGGTGAAAGCCTGTGGGAAGGCTGCCTGCTTCTAGCACCTTCAAGAAACAAAGCTTCCAGGAAACACTTACACTTGGCTCCCACTTTGTGCAATGGATCATTGAGTAAATTGCAGGTCCTATTGCAAGGACAGTCATTCCATTTGAATGATGAAGGGAGGACCCCAATATTACCAAGCCAATAGACCCTACTATTGCCAGACAGAAGAAACCTTATGCTCAGCAATCAGACTTCCTGCTCAGCCCAGAACTAGAGAAGATAAAAACTCTCTCATCTTCCTTCATCAAAATCTATAAGATTTGATCCTTCCAAAATACATCACCGGGCATTGCAGCTTTGAGTATGGGTACAACACTCTCTTCTTCCACTCTGACATTTAACAAACAGGAAAATAAAATTCATTGGTGTGTGAGAATGCATTCAAATAAAGTGAATCCATGGAGAGAAAACATTCTCTTGGGCTTTCACAGAAAGCAAATTGGTCAAGCAATGGCTGTGACTCATCCACATGGCTGATACTGACAAAAGATCTACAAACTGCTGTATAGGGTTCCAGGATAAATCCTGAGGGGATTTGACTGACCTTGTCAGATACAAAAGTTACATTTTTTGTTATATAGGTCTTGCTTTATCTTGGTCTTGACCATCCATCAGAAAAGTGTAAAAACAAGGTATAAAACATAAAGCCATATTAATATGCTGATCTGTAAAAGGCTCAAGCCAACAACTTCTGACATTGCCAGTTCTGCGAATAACCCACTATTATGGACTAGTGGAGTATATTGGATTACTTGACTGAATGCATGTATCTACAATATGTGAATGGCAGTAGAATACCCATCTTTGACAAAAGCAAACAAAAAAGGGGGATATAAATTAAGGACCATTTTGTAGTGAAAAAATATATATCTGTATATACAAAATAAGATAGATATATAGCTACTTTCTCTTAGTTCAATGAGAAGAAAGTTTTGAATTAATAGTGCTTAGAGAAGATATCATGTCTGCGTCTTGTACTATGAATACTATGAAGGCAACAATATGCAATGCTTTAATTATTGTAACTGTCCTAATAACCTGTTTTGAAACTATCTCATTGCTACTTCTTTCTCAATAAAATTAATTAAAAAAACAAATAAAGTGAATATCATTAAAAAAGAGACCTAATATCTACGAACCAATCTCACAAGACTGGAAGTGTTAGGAAGCATCTCATTCATGTTGACATTAAGATTTTAGAGAACACTGACTTTAAAAAAGAAAAGGCTTAATACCATAAAATGGACAGCATATCCTTTGAGATTTAATTACTGATGTAAAGGCAATAAAACAAAGGGCTTTAAGTACCTTGTTAGATGATTTACAAGAAGAATGAGAAAATTTGAAAATATTACTGAGATATTAATTTGGAATCCATTGAAAAGGGGAAATGGTGTTCAATCAGAGGCCTGTAAAAGAGGAAATATGAAAATAAAACAAATGAGAGCAGCAATAATAAAAGAAATGGTGGAAGAAAATGTAAGTGAATATAAAATCAGGGAAAGGGGATCTAAACTTAAATAAATTCTGCTGTTTTCTTTAAAAGAAAAAAGACAATAAAAAGAAAATAATTCTAGTGGCCCCTGAATAGGGAAACACATGAAGGAAATCAAATATTAGATTTGTCTTATATTTTTATAAGAAATTCTAAATCCTATAAGGTTAATATCGAGAGTTTTGCTTGTAGAAACCTTATGGGTCAGAGATTAATAAGAAGAACAAAGACAATGTGAAATTTAATTTAAAATTGCTGAGGGCTGAGACATGTGGCTTTGGGAGAGTGAGTTTATAGCAGTCCCCACCCACTCTTTCTGTGCAGAGAGCGTGTGGAGTCTGTCTGTGGTCTCTGGACTCCACACCAAACTCAGCCTGGAAGGAGGGAAGAACCAACTCTTTCCAGTGTGGGAACTCAGCTTTCTTCTGGAGAATTCCACAAGACTATGCTTGGCCTGTGGCTCCTACATAAAAGGTGTCACCAGGATGGAATAATGCATACTTGTATTTAGGAGTACTCAGGTTGCACTTTGGAAAGTTTGTTGCACAGTTCTCTGTCTCAGCGGCTCCTCTTTTGCGAGCAAGTGTCCACACAGGAGAGCACACTTTATCGCATCTCATTAGAGAGGGGTTGGGAATTGGGCAGATGTTGTCAGCATGTGACCCACACACTGTTTTCAGGGTGCAGCTGTATTTACTTTGGTCTGTTCAGGGTTTCAAAAAGTTTGGATCAACATTTTGTAATTGAAGAGGCCTCAAGTCACATCTAGAATGCTGGGAATCCTGACACAACACATATCCTCGTCAGCAGGTGCAGGAATTGGGCTTAGAAGTCTGTCTTCAGTAGGTACCACCTATTGTGCTTGGGCAGCTGAGTTTTCTTAAAGCAGAGCAAGAGTTGTTTAATGTCATACCTCTGCAAAAAGAAGAAAAATAAAAGATAATGATGTGTGATTTTATTTTTTATTTTATTCTTTTGATGTATGATTTTAGAGCAAAGGTTCAAAACATATTTCTTTCTGAAAAAGTGGAAATATTTTTCAATGTTTTGTTTATTGAAAAATGCAAAATGTGGCATTGCCATAATACAATTATGAAACTAATTACGAACAATTGTTATATAGAAAAGATACATGACAAAAATTAACTAAAAGAATTAAAGTGACCATTTACTGGAAATAAATGATGCTGTTATTCAGAATGATTTTTTTTGCGGGGGGGGGGAGCTGTTCAGGCTGCTTTAAGGGCGGGTCTGGTAAGGCAGGTTGAGGTGAGGATAGAATCACAGTATCCTGTGCCTGACTGCATTTGCATGAGCAGGCACCAAAACAACTGAGCTAATTGGCAGGCCCCCCAATGATGCTGTTATTCAAGAGTAGTTCTAAACTTTTTATAGGTAAAATATTTCTGAAAAAAATGTTTCTAGAGTAAAGAAGGAATGAAAAGACTTTCTTTCTTTCTTTCTTTCTTTCTTTCTTTCTTTCTTTCTT